CCCCCTCCCCTCCCTCCTCCTCCTCCCCCCCCCACCCCCCTCGCCACACGCGTGCCTGCGGAACACCAACCAATTTGTTCGTTCGCCTTTGTTCTGACGGCAGGCCTTCTCGGCATGGGTCAACTCGCGCCTCGCTGAGCGGAGCATGGTCCTGCCGCGCGACAAGGACCTCTCGGAGGTCTTTGATGACGGCCTCATGCTCATTCCCTTTGTGGAGATCCTGACCGGGAACAAGGCCCAGAAGCATGTGGCCAAGCCCAAGATGCGCATCCACAAGCAGGAGAACGTCCAGCTGGCGTTCAACGTCCTCAACTCGGTCGACTACCATCCCGACATCCACGTCGAAGAGATCCTCGACGACTCGGAGAAGATGGTCCTCGGCTTTATCTGGCAGCTCTTCCTCCACTTTGGCTCCAACGACAACGCCGCCGAGCTCCTCGCCTGGGTCCAGGAGCGTGTCAATGACAAGGAGCGCTACCCGAACGTCAAGGTCACCGAGTTCTCCAAGTCGTGGCAGGACGGCAAGGCTTTTGCCGCCCTCCTCGACTCGTTCTCGCCCACCATCTTCAACAACGACTCGGTCGACCAGTCCGAGGACGACGTCGTCGCCACCAAGGCCCGCGCGCTCCTCAACTCGGTCTTTGATGCCGCCCTCCTCAAGCTCGACGTGCCCAAGCTCCTCGACGCCGAGGATCTGGCCGGCTTTGCCCCCGACGACAAGGCCATCAAGATGTACGTCACCCTCCTCAAGAACGCCTGGGCTGAGAAGGAGGAGGCCCTTCTCGCCGCAGAGCGCGCAGAGGCCGAGCGCCGCGCGAACATGACCAAGGAGGACGCCCTCGCCGAGCTCGACGCCGCCCTCGCCAAGCTCGCCATGGTCAAGAACTGCCCGCAGTGCGGCTTCAACCTCCGCGAGTACCTCGAGGCCGAGGCTGCCGGTCACGACCAGGCCGCCGCCGCCGATGCCGCCGACGACGCCTAAGCACGCCCAAGCACGCCCAAGTACACAGGGCTAAGCCTATCGCAACTCGCAACTAAACCTGAGCCCCGCCCGCACATCCGCCACGTGTCTGTCCGCGTGCCCCGTGCGCCACACCCCCATCCCCCCCGCCCCCCCCCCACCCCCCGCCCACCACGATGACCGAAGCAACCGCCCTCCTCCCGCCTGCCACACTCCGCCCCGGTCGCCGGGTCACCTTTGACAATCTCCAGTACGAGGTCGAGGTCAAGGGCGCTGCGTCCCCGCTGCGCATCCTGCATGGCGTGAGCGGATGTGCGAGACCTGGACGACTGCTGGTCATCATGGGCGCAAGCGGATCAGGCAAGACGACACTGCTCGACATCCTCGCCTGTCGCAAGGCCCAGGGTCTGCTCAAGGGATCATTGGCTGCCAATGGCGTACCGCTACTGGCTGGCCACCAGGCTGCGCTCGCCGAGTACAAGCGCGACATCGGCTACGTTCTCCAGGACGACCATCTCGAGGGACTGCTGACTGTCCGCGAGACACTGATGTTCTCGGCGCGGCTGCGGCTGCGCGGCGTCTCTCAGTCGGACATGGCAAGCCGCGTCAGCGCTATCATCGATCAGCTCGGCCTTGCCGACGTCGCCGACGCGCTAGTCGGCAACGCCCTCACCAAGCGCGGCATCTCGGGCGGCCAGAAGAAGCGGGTGGCCATCGGTGTTGAGCTTGTCACCTCGCCGGGCGCCCTCTTCCTCGACGAGCCTACCACTGGCCTCGATGCCTTCAACGCCCTCCACGTAGTCCGCATCCTCAAGGACCTGGCGGTCGCTTCTTCGCGGACCATCGTCCTCACCCTCCACCAGCCGCGCGCCGCCCTCTTTGAGCTGTTTGACGACCTGCTTCTCCTCTCGCTCGGTCGCACCGTGTACTTTGGCCCGGCTGATGGTGCCCTCGCCGCCGTCCTTCTCCCGCCGGCGTGACTCTCGAGCTCGGCAAGCGGTTCATCAACCCGGCCGATGTTCTCCTCGACACCATCGTCCAGGCTGAAATGGCCGGCGACGCGCCTCGGCTTTGGGCCGCCGCTGAAGCGGCCGACTCAGCCACCAGGCTCCCTAGTCCCGAGGCTGCGCTCAATGCCGCCCGCCCGTCACAGTGCGTGCTCTCCGACAGCGATGGCACGCCTCCCCGCGGCCTGCCGGGCGTGCGAACCCAGATCGCAACGCTGGTCTGGCGCGAGGTCACTGTCACCCGCCGCTCGCCCTTTACCACCCATGTCCGCCTCGCGCAGACGCTCTTCATGACCCTCCTCGTTGGCACTCTCTACTGGCAAGTCGGCCGCTCGCAGGCCTCCATCCAGTCGCGGCTTGGCGCCCTCATGTTTGTCCTCATCCAGAACGCCTTCTCCACCTTTTCCATCATGCAGACCTTTATCGAGCACCGCCCGCTCTTTCAGCGCGAGCGTGGCGCCGGCCTCTACCACCCGCTTGCCTACTTTATCGCCCGCACCGCCATCGAGCTCCCGCAGACCTTCTTCTGGCCGTCGCTCCAGCTCTCCATCGCCTACTGGATGGTCGGCTTTGTTCCGGGCCTCACCCACTTTGTCACACTCCTCGGCGCCGTTGTCCTCACCACCACCGTCTCGGCTTCGCTCATGCTCGCCACCGGCGCCGCCTGTCCCGGCGCCCGCGTTGCGCAGATCATCGGCTCCGTCACCCTTGTTCTCGGCTTCCTCTTTGCCGGCTTCTTCATCAAGGCCTCCCAGGTCCCGGCGCCCTACCTCCCGCTCCTTGAGCTCTCATTCTTTCGCTACGCCTTTCGCATCGCTGTCCACAACGAGTTTGAGAGCCTCACCTTTGACTGCGGCGACAACATCCTGACCTGCATTCCTGACGGGCCGGCCTTTCTGCAAGGCTACGGCATGGCGAGCGTCAATCTCCCGCTCTGCTTTGGCATCCTTGCTGCCGAGATCGTCGCTTTCCGCGCTCTCGCCTACCTCTTTCTCGTCACTATGTACCGTGAGCGCCGCTGATCTCGCCCCGTCCACCGCTCCGCTTTCGCGGCTCGCCCGACGCCGACCCGGCGTCCTCCGCCTCCCGATCGCGCTCGTCCTTCCGTCGCCGCTTCTGTCCGCGCTTTCTCTGCTTTCGCACCCGCCGCCGGTGGCCCTGCGACCGCATGTGCGCTTTCCACTCATGCTCGCCGCGGAGCGTTCGACCGCCGCAAAGCTCACATGTAAAGACCGCCCACGGATCGTGAGCCTCCTCGGCTGGCGCCTTCTCGGCCGACAGCCCCACCTCGCTCCCGGCCAGCCACGCCCGCGCCGCAGCCTCGGCTGGCGCCTTGACCGCAGCCTCCCAGCCACTCGCCGAGTCGTCGGTGGCGTCGAGCGGGTAGACCTTGACCCCACGCCTGACAAACACGTTGCGGATGTACTTGATCTGGCTTCGGGCGTACTGCCGTGTCGCCAGCTTGTGCTGCACCAAGCATGCTTCCAGCGCCGCGCTCGTCCGGCTCTCCAGGTACGGCGCAAACTCCTTGAGACCAATGGCCTGCACAAGCCCGGCGTCGCCGCCTTGACTCGCGCCACCACTCGCCAGCAGCTCGGCTGCTGCGTCGAGCTCGGCGAGCAGGCCGCGGTCGACCATGGCGTCGACCCGGGCGTCAATACGGGCGTCGAGCACGTCCAACTCCGCCCGCGGCCACAACAGCAGCGGCTCGTACCGCGCGGGCTCGGGAGCCGCACGCTGTGCCTTGACCACGTTCGAGTGCCGGACGCCGGTCTGGACCACCGTCCGCAGCGCCGTGTTCACGCTCCGCCGCGCGCTCGGGTGCGTCCGCGCCGCCGTCACCGGATCAACCGACGCCAGAGCCGCGTGCGCCGTGGCATCATCAGCCTGCGCCAGGGCCGCAAGATCGAGGTGCGAGGCGTCGACTGCAGCAGATGGATCGGCGGCAGCCACTGCTGCCGCGAGCTGAGCGCTCGGCAGAGGCGCCACAGCCAGCGCGTTGAGGTAGTAGTGCGTGCCGCCGACCACAATCGGGACCTTGCCGCGAGCGAAAATGTCGTCGATCGCAGCATGCGCTTCGGCCACAAACTGATGCACAGAGTACGTGCCGTCCATCGCCACGTGGCCCACAAGATGATGCCGGACAGCAGCGAGCTCGGCCGCAGTCGGCTGATTCGATGCAAGCGGAAGGCCAGCGTAGACCTGGATCGAGTCGCACGACACGATCTCGCCATCCAGCGCCAGTGCCAGTGCCATCCCCAGCTTGGACTTTCCCACAGCCGTCGTCCCGATCACGGCCACAATCCGCCGTCGCTCCTCAACCGCCGCCATCGTCCAGTCGACCAAAAGTGCCGCCGGTGGCGCGACAAGTGTGACCTTGACACGTTGCCTTGCTCTTCTTTGTCCGCACTCTCCCGCTCCACACCCGGCCCACTCCCGCACCTCATCCGCAGCCCCAATTGCCGAGGCCGCCTTGCCGCCTTGCCCCCCCCCCCCCCCACTCCCCCCCCTCCCCACAATTCCCATAGCCCCACACGCATCATCCCTCAACCTCTCTTCCTCCCCCCCCCCCCCCC